GGCCCCGTTCCAACCGGTTCGGTTGGAACGGGGCCAGCGGCGTCCTTGTGCACGCATGCGTACTAGCGTCTGCGTGATGCTCCAGCTGCTCCTGGAGGATCGCGCAGGCGCTGTATGCGTCCTGCGCATGCGTAGAAGCGCAGAACTCGTCAAAACTGGGTAAGGACCGCAGGCAGGCGGGCGCGCCCTTCGCCGTTCCCGGGAGGTACTTACTTCCGGGTTCGCCGACCAACCGGTTCGCAGGGACCACCGCGAACCGGTTGAAACCCACCCCTGGTATGCATCCATATAAAGTTGTACTTTCCTATCCTGTTTGCAGGTGTATAATGGGTTTTGTGAACAAAGGAAAGGAGCGAGCTTTGCTGAAAGACAAGAAACCTGGGACGTTTTTGCTGAGGTTTAGTGAAAGTAATTTAGGAGGGATTACGTTTACCTGGGTATCCCAGTCTGAAAATGGTAAGTTCTGTACTGCTAAAATACATAGCGCTTCATTTTATCTTCATCTTTCCTTTCTGATTCCTTAAATCCTTTGTGGATAGATACAAAAGAATTCTGATCCTTTGATCTGACATGCTGAACTTCTGATGCTTGATTCGATTTGGCAGTATTTGTGGATTTGGCATTTTATGTTCAAGTTGTGCTTTGTCCTTTTTGTTTACTCGTTTGCAAAATCTGCAAACCTATCCTCTTATTAATTTGATTACCATATATTATAGTGCTCCTTAGAACTCTATCCTCTTATTAACAACTCTGTTATCTTCGCAGGGGAAGTGAAATTTCACTCTGTTGAACCATATAACAAAGGCCGCTTAACAGCCCTGCCATTTGCAGACATATTACGAGATTACAAAGTTATTTCGACAGATAACATTCCTGAGAACCCATTGCAGTATCTTTATCCCAATATCCCCAAAGACAAAGCTTTTGGAAAGCACTACAGCTCTCAGCCTAATGAAGGTCAGAAATTATTCTGAAGTCTTCCCTTCCCTTAATTGAGCTAAATGTGTGAAGTGACATCCTCCTACATACCCAGAATCTCCTACACATTTTTAGTCATGATCCAGATTTAACTTGCATCATATTTCACATTTAGTATCAAGACCTACAGAGGGAGGAACCAAAGGTTATGTCCCCTCTGTCTTCATTCCAGTCTCCAAGATGTGAGTAATCATTCTTATTTGTTTCAGTTGTAATTTTCTAAAGCAATTAATATAGGAAACTTAGCAAACTTTGCTGCAGGATGTTATTCTTTAACTGAGATGTTAAAACATACTGAAAAAACCAAACTTTTCAAAAAAATTAATTTGATTGAGAGAAATGGGGTGATGGGATGAAAGGAAAGACATTGCAAACATATGAGAACAATAAAAGTAAGGTGTTACAAAATATATCATGTTTCACTCACTAAACATAATTGTCTTTTTTTTTAAGTCTGAATAATTCCACAGATCCACCTTCTCCATCAGATCTTCTTCCCATGTCACCAAGTGTTTATGCTGTTTTGAGAGAACACCTGAGCCCTTCTGTAATGGAAACTGCTGTAAGTTACACAGGTTTTGTTTCTTTTTATTTTATTTTTAGAATGGAATAGAATAGCATTCTTTATTGGCCAAGTATGATTGGACACACAAGGAATTTGTCTGGTGCATCTACTCTCAGTGTATGTTTGAATGTTGAATGTTTATTTTATTTATATGCTGTTCTTTTCCCCCGAAGGGGACTCAGGGCGGCTCACAACT